ATTGGGGGCTCCCCGCCGGATCCCAACCCCCGTGGGACCCCCCATCGGTGGCCCCCCAGCCAAGCCCGAGGGGCTCTCCTCGGTATAATAGACCGGACGAGGCTTGCGGCGGCTGCCGGGGGCGTGGCACGGCTGGGCGTGGAGAGTGAAGGGAGGGGAGGAAAGGGGAGACCACTCGATTCAATAAACTGAGTTCAGTGAGGGCGGGAATGAGCTGGACACGGCATGCACTGATTGCTTTGTTAGGGGGGCAGGAGAAATGGGGTGGGCGTGGGCCCCCCCGCTTTCCCTCGCTCTCTCCGCCGAGCCGCACGCAGAACCGATAAGCGAACAGCCTTCCGTGCAGCCAAACTGCTGCTCCAGCGCACGGGAGCGCGCGCGCGTGCACACACACGGCTTGCATGAGGCCCCCGCTGCCGAATAGCTTATCTCCCCTTGGCAGCCCCACCCGCGACCCGACCGGCTCAGTCCGGGCCGGGCGCGAGAGGAGAGAGCAAAAACAGGCAACGGCGAAACAAAGAATCCAAGCGAGACTGAGAGGGAGAGAGAGAGAGAGAGAGAGAGAGAGAGAGAGAGAGAGAGGTCAGTGCGAGAGATAGAGGGAGCGAGTAAGAGACGGGAACGAGCGAGAGAAAGCGGTAGGGCGGGCTGGCGGAACGAGCGAGAGAGAGAGCGGTAGGGCGGGCTGGCGGAACGAGCGGACGGCGATTTTACGTTCTGCTGCTTCGCAATTTTTACTCTGAATGAGTAAAGAAAAGGGGCGTTGTTGCTGCTGCTGCTGCTCGCGACTACTGAGGGTCGTCATGGAAGCAGGGGGAAAAGCGAAGGAAATGAGGGGAAATTGTTGGGGGGGGGGGGCTCGCGACACGAGCCGAGCTTGTGAACGCCCTGGCTACGACGGGAAAAGCCTCCCGTAGGATTTCTCGCGCACGCCCGTGCCCGTGAGTCGAGGAGGGGAGGAGAGCGACGGAGAGCATAGAAAGCCGGGGGCGGAGCGCGGGGTGACCAGGCTGTCGGAAGGCGTTAGGACAAGGGGGAGAGGGGTCGACCAAGTCACTCCCCTCAGCGGCCGCCGCAGCGCCCGGCTCCGAGCCCTGCTACTCGCCCACCACTGTCCCCGTGCCCCAGTCTCTCCACCATGCTAATTACCACCTCCGAGAGTGCCAC